CCCCCCCCCCCCCCCCCCCCCCCCCCCCCCCTCAGACCTCATTCTACCACCTAAGCACCCTTATACCCATACCTCAACCCGCCCAACTCCCCCTCCGGATCAACCCCCGCCATAACCACCTTAGCCGCCACTGTCGCCGCATATATCACCCCCGGCAACGCCGCGAGATATACCTTTCCCACAGCATTTACTCCCTGGGCCCCACCAGTGACAAGACCGGTCAACAGCACCAATACACACAACCCCACGTTTAGATATGGTAACCACGTCTCCAACGGCGAGGGTGTAAGAACGCTAGCACCGTACTGGTTGGGAAGCCTCTTATTTTTCTTCTTCGTAGTGGCTGAAGAAGAAGAAGAAGCCAGAGAGTCGACAATGGATAGTCCAGTCTTGGTAGGAGGTAGTTTGATCGTGATGAACGTCGTGGCGGCTAGGGAGGTAAGAGCGAGGAGAGAGAAGATTGTTGATGTTTTTGTTGATGTTTTGGTTTGTCCATGTGAAGGGAAATGGGAAGGAGAAGAGGAAGAAGGCGACAAGAAAAGGACGAGGAGGTAAGGAACTGAAGCGATGGCGGGAATGAGCAAGAGGAGAGAGCGGAATTGGGAGTTGCGTTGGGAGTTTTGGATGGTGAGGGTTGTGATGAGGGATTCTTGTTCTGTTCATTGAAAGTTTTTGTTTAGTACTTGGGCATGATGACTTGTGACGAGGGCGAGGGTTGGGATGTGAGAAGAGGGTGATCGGGATGGGTTGAGTATGTGTGGGTACGTAGGAGGGGAATACATATGAGTGAGGGTTGATTCAGTGTATAGGTAGGTTGACAAAAAAAAAAGAACGTGGGTTTTCAGATGCAACAAAAGATTTGACAGGAGAGAGGAGCAGAAGACAGAAACATGGTAAGCACATACCTTGCTCGTCCATAACCTCGAGCGCATTTTCGTCATCGGCCTCATCCTCACTCGGGTACCGAAACGTCTTGCGAAGGCGCGCGGATGCGCCGCGGCGATGGGATCGAAAGCCGCTGTCCATCCGTCCTACCTATGTCGTGAAACAATGCGTTAGTTAATTCAGACTCTGGTATACTCTCTTTTATGAAACGAGTCAAACAATTAACGAACGAGTTGCCGTTGAACTGGAGGAGAAGAGAATGTCGGCATCGAACGAATGAGAACTCCAGGCAAGTAATGACGGAATTACGTTCAGGGTTATGTGTGTGTATTTGCGTACCGGTAAGTTACATCCATGAGCGGAGTGGTAATTAACAATTCTCATTCAAAACTGTCCGATCTCCTGAAACTCTCTCCCGACTGCAGGCCAAGAACTCAGGGGTAAACGGCCCGGTGTAAACAATGACACTGGTGACGCTGGTGAATACGGCTATATTGGAGTCTCTTTCCCAAAAGATGACCCTGGTTTTAACCTGCTTTGGAGAGATGCGGACTCATCAACGACTCTGCCACACTCCGTGTTCATGGGAAAGAAAACCATTTGGTGAATGCCCGAGTGTCTGTCCTACGACACAAACAACATGGGATTGGCTATCTGAAGGCTGTTTCTGTCCTAGAGAGCCAAACTCTATGCCTCTTGGTAGTTTTTCCCCGAACCTCCAGTCTATGCACGTCCAGCTTCCACCTTTCCGAAGTCATCACGTCATAAACGCACTCGGCCAGAGTAGACGTGCAGAAAGCTGTTCTTGATGGAGGTATAGAATCACGAAAATGAACGCCGCGAGTGAAATCGATTGACCGCAAATGATGACCCTGAATGCAGAAGTTTTCCGAATGATCTCTATCCACCAAACTCCTCACAAACCACTCACGGTTCCCGGCGAGTAGGTGTGCAATTGCTGGTCGACCCTTTCACTCTTTCTCGTGAAGACTTAAGAGTACATGTCGTGCCCATGCTGTTTTATGCCTGTTGTTCAGGCAACCCAAGATTGAGAGAGATTATTCCGCCTTCCGACATTTACGAGGGAGGGGCCTCACCACGGCCGGCGCGGCCACGACCGAAACCACCACGGCTGTTGGGAGACAAATGTTAGCCTATCTAAAACATTCGCAAAAACAAAGAAACCTTGACGGCCCAAACAGCGGGGGCAACTTACAACTGGGGAGCGAACTCGCCGGGGGCACCACCCTCCTTACCCTCACCAGCCTCACGGCGGCGGTAACCGCCCTCGCGGTCACCACGGCCACGGCCACCGAAGGGGCGCTCGCGGCGCTCCTCACCACCGAGCATGCCACGGGGGGGAGCGTGAGACCGCTGGGACTTGATGTGGGTAGCGGGGACGATCTCAGCGGGGAGGTGGAGCCACTCGCGGAGGTAGTCGAGACCCTCGGGGGTGAGGGTGTAGTAGTAGTACTGCCACGAGAACTGGGTCTTGACGTAGCCGCGCGAGGTCAAAGACTGGCAAGCCTTGATGACAAAAAGGTTGCGGATGCCGGTCTCGTGGGTCGACTCATAGCTAAACGGGTGTCACGAATTAGCATGTGTTATTCGTTTCGCGTTGGCGGGTGTCCACGGCGGATGGAGGGCGAGTTCGTGCTGGCGTCTGTTTCTGTGTCTGCGCCGATTTGGGTCGATGTCGCGATAGCGGGCTGGAGTTCGTTTGATATGTTCGTCGTAAGGCATGATCGGTCGACAGCAGAAATGGCGGACGGCGACGAAACCCCACCCCCTCCCATCCAAAATACGTGCGAATCGAACGGTTCAAGGCTGGATGTGTGTGTATCTTTGACTGGAATTTCGGGTGGAAACCTACTTCTTCTCAGCGACCATGACGCCCTCACGGAAGAGGTACTACATTAAAATGGTCAGCATAACGTTCTGGCTTCCACTTTCAACTTGACGGCCCCCCAGCAATCATTTGCACGCCCTCGTTTCCGTATCCAACAATGTCCACCCTCCTTCCATTTTCAATGTCTGGCCGTCATAAAAAATCGATTTCGCATACCTCATGGATCGCCTTGCGGTCAGCCTTGGGAATAAGCATTTTGACGAGATGACCGGTGTCGACACAATTGGTGGTGTTGGTCCGGGGAAAGTGTCGGCGTTGCGGGAGTCGAGAGCTCAAAATTCGAGATCTAAGTGATTTGTGGGCTGCGTGCCGAAATTCCAATGCCATAGTAGGGTTGCGAAACTAGCGGGGCGGCACCGCCACACTTTCAGGAGTCTTGGCGCCTCACCGCCCTGTCCGACCTGGGTCAAGTCCGCAGATAAGGCTGGACCGTGTGGCTTGCCCCATCTGTCAGCGGCCATGACGGTTCTCCAAATTGGCGTCGCAGAGGCGAAGTTCATCTCCAAAACGACTTCCCTTCCGAGTGCAACAAAGCAAAATCAATCCCGACGTTTCCAACGAACCGTCTCAGACGAATTCCGGCGTGGCACTCTGATATTTCTCCGGTAGCGGTTGTTCAGCGTCATTGACGATCAAGACTTCGATAAGCACATCGTCGCTCCACAGCGCAGGGAGGCTGCGTTCATCTGCCATCATCGACATCACGCCGTGGATCAAAGCATTAAATCTACACCCCAGTGCATCAACGCCAACACAATTGCCTACGATCTAAAAGTCTGCCGGCACCTTTGTCGTTATCATCGAAATGGATCCTACCAACACCATCAACGTCCTCATTACCAGTATAGCTGGCACCGGCCTCCCACCCACTCTAACCTTCGCCCTCCCCGCCTCAACAACCGTCACTGAGCTGCGCGACCGGCTCCTCTCCCGGCTGCCTGGCTCCCTGGAATCACCTGCCACCTTCCGCTTTCTCCTTACCACCAATTCCAACAAACAACTCCCTTCCTCCTCCACTCAGCCCCTCTCCTCCCTCCTGCCAGGTCTCGGAAACAATGACTTTCTCCCCCTCCGCCTCTCCCTCCCGCTCTGCGGCGGCAAAGGCGGTTTCGGTTCTCAGCTTCGCGCCCAAGGCGGGCGCATGTCTTCAAAACGCAAGAAGAACGGCTTGCAAGGGGAAGACAACGGATCCTCGCGTAACCTAGATGGACGACGTTTGCGGACCATCACAGAGGCCAAGGCGTTGGCCGATTACCTGGCCATCAAACCCGACATGGAGAAAAAAGAAAAAGAGAAGCGAAGGAAGCGGTGGCAGCAAATTGTAGAGCAGACGGAAAAGCGGCAGGAGGAGATCAGGCATGGGAAGGCAGGAGGTGGGGGATTCATGTTGGATGGTAAGTGGGTGGAGGATAAGGAGGAGCTGGATGAGAGGACGAGGGAGGCGGTGATGACGGCTCTGAAGAAGGGCGCGTACACGGATAATCTGTCGATGTTGGCGGCTACGGCGGCTGCGGCGAATGCAGCGAATCCTGGGGAGGGCGGTTCGGGGAGTGGGAGTGGGTCGTCTTCCGGGGGTGAAGCGATGAGTGAGGATGAGAAGGAGAGTGAGCGGGATGGTGCGGCTACACCACCATCGGAACCGGAGCCGGAACCGAAGATGGTGGTGGACAAGGAAAAGCTGAAAGGCAAAGAGAAGGAGACGGTGCAGCCGAAGGCGCAGATCAAGACCTTCGCTGGCTTTGATGACGATGATGAGTTTATGAGCTCTGATGATGAGTGAGAGTTCGATGGAAGATGTCATAGACTCATGGAGATCTCGGTGGTGTAAGTTGGGATGTAACGGGTGAACCTGACTTACTTGACTGCCTCGGGAAGACAACTCATATTTGGCGTTATCGGGAGTTTGGTATGTTTATATTGTCTCATCACGAGGTAGCGAATAGGGATAAAGGGGGTTTTCATGATACCACGTACTATACGTCTAGGCCACATCATACAAAGCCTAGTGAAATACCGAATTCAGTTCACTAAAGGAGCTCTGATTCGATTCACTTTCTATTTTGATGACATCACTTCAGCAAGATTCAACGGGAAACCCTCGTCTCGCCAACCCCAAGATACTCTCTATGTGCATTCCCCCATACTACCAAGAGCTTTCTAATACAACTAGGTTCGATGTAGGGTGAAGTGAGTCCTGATAGGTGGTTGACCTTTGTCATCATCCACCCACCTATTCCTGTCGCGTCATACAAGCGTTTCAGGGGTATTTACTCCAGCTTGACGGGGAAGTTGCCAGCCTCTGTAAGAAGTTGTCAGTGAACATGCCCTCCGTTGGCCCTTTTCTAGCAGTGGAAAAAAGATCGTTTCCCGTTACGTACCACGCTGCTCGTCCCATCTCTGGTACCAGCCGCTGGGGCAGAGAGAGCGGTAGGCGAGCCAGAACTAATAAACGGCGAGGTGTCAGTCAGCATTCGGGTCCCTTTTCGTTTCGTAGCTTTGTCGTCCTCGGTCTGGCTTTGCATCCCATCCGGCCCCCACGTTTCTCCTTTCTCTTTCTCATCCGGCAAAGCAACAGCTGGGGGCAGTGGTGAATTTAGTGGTGGTGGTGCGGCTAACCTGGCGGCAGGGAGCGAAGTCCTCGCCCTTGGCGAGAATGCACTTGTGGTAATCGACGTAGTTTTGCCAGCAGTGCTTGGTCTGGTTGACGTTGGGGAAACGGGCGTCGACACCTAATAGTTTTTGAAAAAACACGCAATACGTCAGAACACAGGTTTTTCTTTTTTCGGCGATTTCTCTTTGGCGCTGGTTTTGATGGCTCTGCTCGCTCGCTCGTGATCCGCATCCGCAAAGCTAGCAGCTGCGGGCATGGAGAAGGGGTGTTTGCCCCGTGCCGCGCAAAGTTCGATGTTCGGGGGTCTCCACAATGCACTCCTCTTCTTTCCCCGTGCCAAAAGAGCTTGAGCTCTATCTTCAGCCGGGGTATATCGGGGATTCCGGCGAGATCGCGAGTGAAGCATTTAAAGGCTTGCTGCCGATCTTCGGCAAATTCGGCGGAGGAGCTAAATATGTTTGAAAAGCAAAAGTAAAGGTTGTTGCATACCGGCTGCAACGTGCGTTTGTTAGCAATCAATTCCGGCCCGGCGCAATGAGGTCACGGCATGATTTTTTGCCGAGGGAATTTAGATCTTTGCTTGGGGGAGCAGAGGTCCAATGCTCAGGGACTAAACCTGTACGTACCAGTGACGAACTTGAAGGGCTTGGTAACGCGCTCGTCGTCGGACATGTTGGCGGTGGTTTGCGGTGGTGGTCGCGGGGGTGGTGGGTGGTGTCTGGGAGTTGGTGTTGAGGCGGAAGCTCAATGGCTTGTGGGATTGGACCAGGTGCGGGTGTTGACGGGGACGTGGAAGAGCTGCTGTGAGATTCTGACCTTTGCGTCGATGATGAGGCGAGGTGAGCCGAGTGGATCGATTCCACAGCACGGGTGCTAGCTTTTGGTAGCTCTGACGAATTGCAGTCAGTGCGCTGTCCTCCTTCCCCGTCCAGGCAGTGCCAGGCAATGCACCTTCTGAAAGCCAGAACTTCGTCCGCTGTAGAGACTGCCTCGATTCGGAAGCCTGAGGCACCAATTTTCGCACCTCCCGTCAGCACTCATGCAGCGTCTTGGCAACCCCGAATGGTGACGGCACTCCGACGGGCGATGATTCCTCGACCGAATCCAGGACAGCTGGACGCCAGCTGCGGTGAGCTGACCTCACCTAACAGCAGGTGGAACCCCCCCGGCTAGTGTCCGTGCAGCCGAACGAAGCTCAACGCTCGAACTCCCGCATCTTGATTTGAGGCAAAGAAAGAAGCCAAAAGTTCAATTGCCAACCTCGATCGCAAAAGCTGCTCTTCGTCCACCGCGGTAGCGCAACACCATCCCTCAAGACAAATCTCCACTCAATTCCACGCCGGCAAGATGTTCGCCTCCCGTGTCGCCCGCCAGGCTTTCCGCCAGACCCCCCGCATGATGCGCCCCATTCCCGTAAGAGCTATACCCGGTCTCGAGTCCGCGACTTTTCCGAAGCTTTGGGAGGTGCCATTGCGTCAGAGTTACTAACCAAGGGATTTTTTGTCTTGCTATAGAAGGAGGAGCAGGCCGGTACGTGAACGAACAACCCAACCGTTGCATTCTACGACAACAAAAGCTATTACACAATTTCCCGGAGCTTCAGGAGCATTTACCCCAGTTGGCAATGGAGATGGAGGGTTTTAAAATAATTGCGCGAGGGGGGGATATCCGCGACTGACAACGTCATCTACGGTACAGCCCACACCGTCTCCCAGCGCCTCCGCATGCGCATCAAGACCATTCCCGCTGAGTTGTGGCCTCTCGGTAAGCTTGCACCAAGCTATTATACATATGGATGCCATCCTGGATCGAGTGCTGATAAGGGGGGGAATTGTTCGACTGAGTAGGTGTTGTCGTCGGTTTCGCCGTCAGCGCTGCCATCTACTCCATCACTCGCCACCTTGTCGTTGACAAGACCATCCGTCTCAAGCGCCAGAACCGCGCTGCCGATTCGCACGCCCTCCACGCTGCTCACGAAGAGAAGCACTAAACGAACAACCAGGGATTTTTGTGCATGGGGCGTATAATCGATAAGGGAACGAGGAAAGTGTTCTCGAGAAAGGTTGCCTCCATTTTTTTTTTGGCGTAGCATTGTACATGATGACCAGGAATCAACACGGTTAATCCTACAAAAGAGTTGAATGTGGTCGGACGGGTGATGGCTGTCATTTTTGGCTCAGTGAGGGCTCCCGAGTGCCGGTGTTCAAGTGACATTGTCGATTTTGATGTCAAATGGTAAAAAAGAAGCAACAGAATGTGATACACTTCCAAAAAAAATACACCCAAGTCCCAATGATGCCATTTAACGCCGTAGCCATGCAATGCTTTTCTTTCCGGGTATCAACACAGAAACTCGCTTCTCTCCCCCCGACCCTCGCCGGGGAGAGTCCATTTGCTGAAGACGGACCAAGCAACGACCGATCTCTATTGCGGTTTCGGTCCAGCAACATCTAGTCCCTCGAGGCCCTGCATAGGGTCATCAGGCGCGGTAGCAGCCAAACGATCCTCCTCACTGACGGCATTCTCAGCCAGCCATCCTTCCTGTGAGCCAGCGCATTAGTATGAGTCTAGGTATAAACTGTGATTCCCGAGCATCCCCCATAGATGAAACTCACCTGCTCCCAAACGGCAGTCTTGGATCCCAACCCTTCTTTCGCGCTCTTGGGGATCTTTGCCGCCGAGACCCTGATTACTCTGCCAAACAGCTCGGACTGGTCCATGTTGTCGATGGCCTCTTTAGCGTCTTCTTCATCCTCGTACTCGACATAGGCGAAGCCCCTGTGCGGATCCGTTGAGTCGGGCTTCTCATTCTTGGGCAGCGAGATATCGACGATCTCGCCAAAGGGAATGAAGGCGTCGTGAATGGTGGCTGTCGTCACGGCGGGTGCAAGACCGCGAATGTGAACGGTGGCTTTCCAACGCGTGGTGTCTGTCATGATCGGTGTTTTCAAAGGGTTTGTGATGCAAGTGTGGAAACGATCAGTCACTGAAGTGAGACTTGAGACGCCTCTTGGTGAAAGTGACTGTAGCTTCTGTGTACTTTCAGCCGAGGTTGAAGGTGTAACGTGTGTTGTGTCCTGACGAGGCTGAATGACTGCCGCAAAGAAATGGATATCGTTGTTCTGGTGAGTTAAGCGTGGTTCTTGGCTCGGTGACTTCTCTTGGGAGTAATCACTGTCGATGTGTAGTTTATAAAGATCATTCATGTGCTGGATGTTCGTCGAGTGATAAGTAGCGAGTGAGACATGGAGAAACGTTGAAGTTCGAAAAGTCGCGACCCCACCATCGTGACAGCGGGGAAGCTTGGGCCATCCTAGAAGTTCATGCACCAGGCGCTTTGTACGTCATCAAATAAGGGTTTCTCCCACAGTTCGGTCTGAGGGCTTTATAGGAAGCACAAGTAGAGATGGTTCTGAAACTTCACACGAAGATGTATCGATAGCTATTTGGATATTGTTGAAGGATATGTGTATATATAGGTCACCACATCATGTGGATGGAAAGAAGTAACAGTTGTCAGTACGGATGTAGTGTAGGCAGTGTAGAATATGAAGGGTAAGGGTTAGGGTTTAACATGGATGGGCCCGGGCTCTCATCTTGCTGTTGCCAACTTGCCCCTGAGCTGTGCCGTGTGGGTTGCATCAGCCTTGAAGCCAGCAAGAGGGAAAAGTCCAGTGGTGCCAACGTCAGGGGCTGGGGGGGCAGCTGTTATCCGCAATCTGGCAACAATGGACAGGCAGACGGGATGCGCTGCACCAAATCCGCTCCAGCTCACTGCCCCGAATGCCTCTAACAACACAGCAGCACTACGCTATTCACTGTGACTTCGATCCCATCCATATCACAACCTCCTCCCAACAGACCGACACGACACCGACCATAGACAGCCTCAATCGCGGAGGGGCTTTGGTCGTTTTGTCTTGTTACTTCTTTTCATGTCCAACTGCACGACCTGACGATCTAGAGCTCTAATACCATCCACCCACCCCAACCTTAATTAATCCACGCCACCCGCACTCTCCTCCCACCCTTCGACCCAAGGCGGCCAGCTTCAGCTTCCCCTGACTTCCCCTCTTTCGCCCACCGATTTACACCGCCCGCGTAGCCGCATCACCACCCGCGGCCGACATTCACATACAACACACAAACATCATGGTCCGGTTGAGAGAGATCCCCCGGACTGCGGCCTTCGCTTGGTCGCCCGGCGCAAACCCCCTGCTCGTAACGGGTACCCGGTCAGGTGCCGTCGATGCCGACTTCTCAGACGAGACTAAGCTGGAGCTATGGGATCTCAAGTTGGACAGCCAGGAACAGGGCCTGGAGCTCCAGCCTATAGCGAGCATTACCGCAGAGTCCAGGTATGCGTGAGAGCTTCAACACATAGTTACCCTTCGGGCGCACTAACAGAGACGCATATAGGTTCTACGACATCGCATGGGGCCAGCCCAATGACGAACATCCCCGGGGAGTTATTGCCGGCGCCATGGAAAACGGCTCGTTGGATCTATGGGACGCCGAGAAGCTGATCGCCGGTGAGGACGCCCTCATCTCGCGCACCACCAAGCACACTGGTCCCATCAAGGCCCTACAGTTCAACCCTCTGAGGCCCCAGGTACTCGCTACTGCCGGTGCCAAGGGTGAGCTGTTCGTCTGGGACGTTAACGACACCTCGGCTCCCTTCCGCCTCGGCACCGCTGCCGCCCACGATATCGATTGCTTGGCCTGGAATCCCAAGGTCGCCAACATTCTGGCCACTGGTGGTGCAGGAGGCTTTGTTACCGTATGGGATCTCAAGACCAAGAAGGCATCTCTAACCTTGAACAACCATCGCAAGGCTGTCAGCGCCATTGCTTGGGACCCAGAGAACTCGACCAAGCTCCTGACGGCTTCATCCGATGATACCGCTCCCGTCATCCTGCTCTGGAACCTTCGCAACTCCCAAGCGCCAGAGAAGACTCTCCAAGGCCACGATCAGGGCGTTTTGTCGCTTTCGTGGTGCCAGCAGGATGCAGGGTTGCTTCTTTCTTGCGGCAAGGACAACCGGACCCTCATTTGGAACCCTCAGACTGGAGAGCGTTATGGAGAGTTTCCTGAGGCTACCAACTGGACTTTCTACACCCGTTTCAACCCTCACAACCCGAATCTGTCGGCCACAGCATCCTTTGACGGCAAGATCGCTATCCAGACCCTCCAGAACACGAACCCCTCGGCGGCTCCCGCGGCCCAGAACAACCTTTCTGATGATGATTTCTTCTCAAAGGCCGCGTCCCAACCGCAGGCGGCTTCCTTCTCTCTGCCCCGGGCACCCGCCTGGATCGAACGCCCCGTTGGCGTTTCCTTCGGCTTCGGTGGCAAGCTTGTCTTCTTCAACAAGGTGGAGACAGCTGCTGGCCAGAAGAGGTCTTCCAAGTTGCAGATCTCCTCTTTCTCCATCGACTCCGACATTGGCTCCGCGACCGACAAGTTCGAACAAGCCATTCAAAGCGGCGACATTGCGAGCATCTGCGAAGAGCATATCGAGAACGCCAAGACGGACGAGGAGAAGGCTGAGTGGCAGGTGATGCAGACCCTCAGTGAGTCTGATGGGCGGACCAAGATCATTGAGCGTCTTGGTTTCATCAAGGACGAGCCGGTCGAGGAGGCTAAGGGGGCCGAGTCACCTATGTCTCCTGAGCCGAAGCAGGAGGATTCTGCATCTCTTAAGCCTAACGGCGGAGAGGCCAAGAAGCATAGGCGTGTTGTAAGCATGTGGGGAGACGGCGACGATGGCGAAGATTTCCTGTCTGAAATCGCCGCTACCAAGGGAGCCAAGACCGACAACCCCTTCAACCTTCTGAGCGTGGGCAACACTCACTTGGAGGATCAGATCACCAGGGCCTTGATCCTGGGCAAGTTTGAGAAGGCGGTAGAGATCTGCTTGAAGGAGGAACGATGGTCGGATGCCTTCTTGATCGCCAACTGCGGCAGCAAGGAGCTTGTGGAAAAGGTTCAGACTGCTTATCTCCAACAGAAGAGGGGTAGCCCCAGCTATCTGCGGCTCATCAGCTCTGTTGTGGCCAAGAACTTGTGGGATATCGCCTACAACGCGGATCTTGCCGACTGGAAGGAGACCATGGTTACCCTTTGCACCTATGCTGATCCTTCCGAATTCCCCGACCTCTGCGAGGCCCTGGGTGACCGCATCTTGGAGTCTGGTAACAGGAAGGATGCCTCTTTCTGCTACCTGATCGGCTCGAAGCTGGAGAAGGTTGTCGGTCTCTGGGTGGACGAGCTTCAGGAGACTGAGCAAGCTGCCTTGAATGAGGAGGCCGGTGATTCCACCTTCTCGGTCCATGCCAAGTCCCTTCAGCAGTTCATCGAGAAGGTGACCATCTTTCGCCATGTGACCAAGTTCAACGACAGCGAGACGAGCCTCACTGAGGGTTGGAAGCTGGCCGCTCTGTACGATAAATACCTCGAGTATGCTGACATTGCGGCTGCTCATGGCCAGTTGTCGGTTGCCCAGAAGTATCTTGATCTTCTGCCTACCAGCTACCCTCCTGCGGAGACAGCCCGCAACCGTGTTAGGCTTGCCACTCAGAAGGCGGGTGCTCAGACTGCCGTTCGGCAAGCCACCCCCGCTGGTCGCACCACCACCACCACCTCCTCCCGTACCGCTGCTCCAGTCGGGTATCAGCAGCCCAGCTTGGTTCCGGCTCCGGCCAACTCCAGCTCTCTAAACCCTTACGCCCCGCCAGTGCCGGCACCGGTAAGCGCTGCGGCCAGCAACCCTTACGCTCCTCCTCTCGCCCCTGTTTCTGCCGCCGCTTCCCAGTACGGAGCCTCGTCGTCTACATACGCGCCTCCCCAGAACCAGGGATATGCCCCGTCAGGATACACACCACCCACTCAAAGCTATGCTCCTACGTCCGTCACTGGGTATGGCGTTCCCGTTCAAAACTTTGGTCAGCCTAGCCCACTTGGTGGTCCCCCCAAGGCCACCGCGCCTCCAGTGCAGCTCAAGAGAGACGGTGTCTGGAATGATGTGCCCATGGTGACAAAGGCTCCTCCTCGTAGGAACACGCCGAGCGTTGCCCCCCTCACTTCTCCATTCCCTGGCCAACCCGGCATTGCATCTCCGCCACCAGCCGGTCCCTTCCAGCAGGGTGCGCCTACGCCGCCGCCGCCCCCGAAGGGTTCTGCGCCTCCGAGAAGTGTCGGCGCGCCACCGACCGGCCCTCCCAGACCTTCTTCGGTCTCGAGCAACGCTACCAACCCCTATGCTCCCCCTC